ATCACTACCAGCCGTGCGATATGTCCTTACGAATACCTCGACCTCGGCGAATTTGTCGTAGGACGTGCGAACATCTTGACTATGTTTTATGCGTAAAGGAGATGGCGTTTATTAGGAACGCTGCCAAGACTGCCCCAAGATTTGATTACGACATGATAAACTGTTCAATTTATACTGTTGCAAACGGAGGTGACGCCCCTGAGTGCTACCAGTACCAGCCCCTACTAGGTTTGTATACTGAAGGCAGCCCTGTATTATTTAATCGTCCATCATTAGCGAGAATAAGGTTCCAAATGGGATCCTTTTTCTGAGGGCCTGAAAATTTTGTAAATATTATTAACTTTGAATTTTTTTCAAGAATTGTGATAGTTTTCTGGTGTTGTGGACGGGTGCAATTTTCAAATGACGTAATTCAAAAGATTGAAAAGGCACTGAACAATACACACACCAGAAAATGATATTAGGCTGATTTAGCAACAAAACGAGAACGTCAGTTGACGAAGAGGTCCGAAAATCAAACAAGTGGCTTGACCAATGGCAGAGCGGCGAATTGGGCACCGGAAGTCGCGTTTAGTACCTTCTGCGCGCTTTCTCGTCGTCATCTGGCGTCCCTGTTCTGTTGCGAAATCAGCCTAATAGCTAACCAACAACGGTTCCTCCAATGCTTGAAGTTGGAGATATCTTTAAGACGGACACTTACCTCTGGTCGAATCGGTGTTCACCCTTGAAACAGTTTTTTATATGCATAGTCATGTCGCCCTGGAATGGTAACGTCATACCAAGGGACGAAAACCAGTGCAAAACCAATGAGGTAGAACTGAGTTCCATAACTGTGTGAAAAAGCCAAAGCCTGTCTAACCAAAATTCACCTTTTCATTAATTCCTTATAGATGATGATACCAAGAGCACAGGTTAGTCTTGATCTTGCTAGTATATTGTAGTCAATTATATGATATTTATTAAAGGAGCAATCTTCCTTCTTGGCTTTCCGCAGGCCCAAGAAGGACTTACAAAGTCGGCTGATCTTTGGGATAGATAATTAAGCTACTTCATCCAGTGTGGCAGACTTCTGTTTCCGTTTTCGACCTTCAATTCCCTGTTAAAACCACTGCCTGGGAGTTGGATAAAATATAATTTCCCCCATGCAGAGAAACCCGAAAGACAGAAATGTAAAGTCTAATCATGTGTTTTCCACAGATTGTTTTTACGATATCGGTGTTGGCTATCGAGGTATTGTCAACACCACCCAGTCTGGCCGTACTTGTCAGCGTTGGGCCTCACAATGTCCCCACCGTCACTGGCGGATTCCTCAAGATGTAGTTGATGGCCAAAATGACTCCAACATGTGTCGCAACCCAGAGGGAAGTGCCCCAGATGGACCTTGGTGTTATACCACTGACCCCAAAGTTCGATGGGAATACTGCAATATATCAAGATGTCCTCCAAGAGGTAGAATCAGTGCCCATCTAAATAGCGCTGGACCTATGTAGCCTATAGAACTGAAAGCCAGATTTAAAAAATGCCACAAGCGTTAGCGAATTCCTCATTTTGATTGTCTGTTATGACTAAAATGTCAAGTTTATCGGACTTTTGTCATAAAAGGACAAAAATTACAAAAGTCAGGATAACATTGAAAATAAGTCACACAGACGTCATTTGTGGGCTGTGCTATTTAAAAATCATGTCGCCAAGTTGCAATAAAATTGCTCCTTATTCCGCGCTGGCCACAGATGCCTTCTTTTCAGCCTTAAACACATGTAAAATGATGTGTAATAAGAATGTTTAAGGCTTCAATTATGGGAGCCTCCCGATGATCTTCGCTTCCACGTTTTCCCCGCCCATATATAATACATTACAAAAAAAAAATGCACAACCATTAATCTGGCCAAGGTATTACAGTCGCCCAAACGCAAATTAATTCTTTAGCTTTTTTTTTTTCGCGGAGTGGAAGGAATATGAAATATGTCGGGCGTACATCTTCAATAAAAACTGCGTAAAATATCAACGACCATCTCACCATAGAGCTTGAGGCTAGTGACAGAACTTGGTAGCGGCAGGTCGTTGAAAGCCAACTGAAAAAATATCCACTAATCATAGCGGAGACACCGCCCGCGAAGCGCGCGCAACGGAGCACCATGGGTAATAATATTTGGTAAACTATCCATCCGAGAAAATTTGGTTATGACGTCACCGTCCGTCCGTCCGTAAGTACGACCGTACGGGCTCTCCGGGTAGGGGTAGGTAGAAACGAAGTCCTCCCCTCTCCCCTAAAGAGTTTTGTCCCCTATTGTTTCAAAAGCTTTTAGAAATGATTGACAAATCAGCATCTGTCAACTGACCAAATGTTTGGTAGACCATTTGACCTTTGACGGGGCTATGGGTGATTTTAGAAAAAATGTCGTGCAGACTGATTTCGAGAGGAAAAAAAGCATGCAGGTAAATTCCTGGGAGAAAAATATCCTGCAGTGAAAAAATATTGCCCATGACGTACAATGCTGAAAAAAAAAAATCTTACACCGTTATATGTTGGGGAAAAAATTTCCAACTCCAGAGAGGTTTGGGAAAAAATTCTTTCAATACAAACTAAATCAGTAAAATCACCCATACCCTACTCCCCCACAAACGTCCAATGGTCATGACAACCATTTAGGGGGTGAGGGAAGAAACGGATTTGACACCTTTGTAAATGACATCCATCAACAAAATGGCTGGCGCGCGTTTATGATGTGGTGGTTTTCAAGACTAAAGTTTTGCATTTCAAGATTGAAAATGCGCCCATAAAAGACACAAATAGAAATTAAAGAAAAAGTTTAAAAGAATGCACAGTTTCCTTTTTGTGGACAAACGAAAGCTTTTCGCTATGAAATCATCTTTCGAGGAATTCAACCTTGTTTTGTGCACGGCGGATCAGAGCGCTTGGCTTGTTTTGAACCAACCAAGGCAGCGAGGTTTCTGAAGACACTTGAGGTACATTCCATACTCTATGAACAAAGAAAAGTACGTTTTTAAAAAAGGAGTTTTTGTATTTATAAAGGTTTCATGGACGTTTCCCACATTTTGAAATCGGCGTGAAAGAAAAACCACAAAATGTGCATTTGAAATGGATTTTTTTTACCACGTGCTCGACCGATTTAACTTGCGTTAACGCAACGATTTAACTTGTCTTACGTGAATTGCTTTTAGGATTAACGCATGGGTTTTTGAAAAAATGTTTTCAAGAAATTAAGTTATTTATCTGTCATTGTTCATTCATAACATTAGCTCAAAAAACGACCATGAGACTACAGATCGTGAGATTTTTAGAAACATTCAGACGGGTCCTTTCTTGAATTAAAACTGAAGTGTTGTTTTTGTACATGTTCCGCATTGAATTGCTATTCATTTTCTCATTCATTACTTGCCATTCAAAGAATTTTGCAGTCTGTAGAATTCAAGGATTTCTGCTGCAGTGTGCATTGTGCTGCTCTTTTTCCATAACTTGCGCCCCAAATACAGCTAATACGCGTAAATCTCGTCGGCTTTTCGAGCCCGAGTTTGTTTGTTTTAAGTTGCTGTATTAACGTTTATAATTGTAGTGAAAGATTGGATTATTGTTATCAGTAGCGTAAAAGGATATCGTTTGCTTTCCTATCTCTGTCCACAGAGAAGATAATATACAACTTACGGTAAGATTTTCTTTCAGATATTTTGAGGTATAAATGTAAAGGCTATACATAACTGTTCGTCCGGGCCCATTTAAAGAAAAAAAAGAAAGAAAAGAGAAAAAAATGGGCTTACGGGAAGGCAAAAGTCCTTAAGTGGGCGTTATTTTTCTTTAGGTCTTCCCTTAAACACAGAAACACCGACTCTAGAAATCGTAACCTGTAAATTGCTGCTACTTAAGAGACCTACAATTTAACAATTTTTTCAATTCAGGTTTGTTTGCGGGGTATTTTTTCTTAATCATTTAGCCCCCCCCCCCCAAAGGTGTCTGATGCCGAAGGCTCTCGAGAATGTGAAGATTTCTTTTTTTTTTGGTTTTTGACTTAGAGTTCAGATTATTACTTTAATTTGATTGCTTTTATCATAAGTATAGAAACAGGGGCCTCGCTTTCAGCCCTGGCTAAATCTATATATTAAACAATGCATGCACATAAATGATAACGATCACTCCCGAGTAAGACTGAAATTTGAGCTGTGTTTGTCGCATAATATATTTTATTTTTCCTTTTTACTAGTTCCAAAGAATGCTCCCGGGTTGGTAAGAGGTTACCCTCTCAATTCATCTTCTGTGTACATCTGGTGGGAAAGAATCCCCCCAACGAAGTACAAGGAAAAACTGCAAGGCTACAGGATAAGATACAATCCCGTTGGATCCCAGTCATATGAGGAAATGAACGTCACAAGCAACGTCACAGAGGCTGTCATTAATGGACTTCCGTCAACCACTAGATATCAGATCAAGATAAATGGATTTAACATAGTCGGCCACGGACCAACCAGCAAAGATCTTAAATTGAAAACGTTGTCATCTGGTAAGTAAATAAGCAAGTAATCTAAATAACGACAACCATAATTAATAAGGATAATGGTAGAACGAAAAAAAAGAAAAAGAGAGAAAGAAAGAGTACTGTAAGTCGCCGCATGTTAGGTAGCCTAAGACAACAGCCGACATTTGGCGACGCTACCACTAGTTTCCCCTCCAAAGGAAGTCTGAGAAGCGAGCGCAGAAATTCCATACTGATATGACGCGTCACTGCCCAGATCTGGGTAGTGCTTCTGATTGGTCGTGTCGCGTAATAATTTTGATTCAACCAATCAGAAGCACCACCCAGATCTGGGTAGTGACGCGTCATCACTATGGAATTTCTGCGTTCGTTTCTCAGACGTCTTTTGGCGGGGAAACCATTGATATCGTCGCCAAATGACCGCTGGTTTCTCAGGCAAGATGTTAGGTAATCCAAGACATTCTTGGATTCTAGATTCCACGCTGTGGATTCTGGATTCCAGCTACTGGATTCCTGATTCTTTTCAATGGAACTTGGATTCCGGATTCCTTGAGCTTTACTCCTGATTCCAAAGGCCAGGATTCCAAATTTAGCAATAAAAGATTTCCCGGATTCCGTCTTCCGGATTACCTGACGTGGGGCGATAGGAGGGCTGTTTGAAGCGACAGTTCCAGGGAATGTTAGTAGGTGTCGCTCCAAGTGCACACTGCTGAAGCCAATAATATTACTTACCACCACTCCACACCGATACACAAAACTTTCTACTATGTAGACCGAGACCGCAGTTGTCATGATAGGCGCATGTGCAATTCTGCTCGTAAAGGAGTGCGGTAATCTTCCTCTTGTGTTAGGTCATAAAGCTATTTTGTCTTATTGTCGTCAGCTTAATAAGCCCTAACCTGCCAAGCCAGTTTTTAGTTGTAAGCTTCAAGATGCAAGTTAATCAGTTGCGACTTTTCTGCTGTAGTTGTGTCAGTTTCAAAGGACTTCAGTGTAATTGCTTCGCATCTCAAAACTCCGTGTATTATTTTCTCAGAGCTTCAAATCTCTACAGAAAAGTCTTCAAGGGTCTGAATCATTTACCGTGTTTTTAGGTTTTGTCAACATCCTTGTGACCTTCCAGCTGGTGATGAAAGATGAATTCGATATTACTCTTGTTAACCGTAGCAGCAGCAAGTTTATAGAAAAGGAAAAATGGATTAAGACTATGGTAAGACAATAAGTCTTAATCCTTGTTAATGCTCTTATTCTCTAAACTTAATAAGTATCTTGGTAATTTGTTTGCGGTAGAAAGTCCCGGGATAGCCTCAAATGGTATCAGTTATCTTGGGTCCTATTCTGCAGGGATTTGCGCAGTTATTGGCCTGACTTCTCTTCATAATTATAGTGAGGGATCGATTATCTAATAATCCCAAGGTCTAAATGCTCGTTGAGCTTGCTCGCTTTTGTGCTACTTGTTTTCCTTCATTCGAGATGCAACTCGTCCTCAATTCCAATTCAACCAGGGAATTCCACTTAGGGGAAGCTGAGTTCTGTGAGTGAGTAAAAATAATTAAGGTCATACTATAATATCAATTCATGAACAAATCTGACAAATGTACATTAATTTTGCAGGTAATGCGCCATTTCAATAAATCCGCCGATTTGAATATATATGACGTCAACGTTCTACGATTTAGGTATTAATAAACATTACATCTTTATACACATACACTGAAAACTGCAAGTTCATTACGCCAGAGGTCTTGAGTAGAACGGCAGTTTATGAGGAGATGTGTTGTAGGGATTGGCTTTCATTTCGAAAAAAATACGAATTAGAATAATTTCGTACTTTATAATTCATTCGCAAAGGTCCTTGAATAAGTACAATTGTGCCAAAAAATCGTAAGCCGCCAGAAAGGATTTGCTGCGAATAATTGTTCGTGCAGGGTGGCGTTTCTCTATAGACCTCACAAAGAGAATTTTTTTGCTTTAGCCAACTTATTGCTGCTGAATTATATATCTTTGCTTTTCATATTTCGGACGTACATGCAAATTCTTACCCCCACCGTGGTACAAGTGGGTGGATGGACCCACCCCACTTAGAGTTTTACCTTCAGTGGAAAACCTTTGATCTTCTGTGCAAGATGAGGTATATTTAATGGGTAATGGAGCTGCTGAAGGACCTGTGACGTCACCAATAATGGTCGCCATCTTGGCCGCCATCTTGGATTTTTTATAAATCAGGTTAAAACCGAGAGAACTGGTGGTTTTTGTGCTTGAAATGAAAAATAACACATAAATAAGCACTTTGCACGATTTTAGCACAAGATTTACTTTTATTGTTGATAAAAAGTTGAAAAAACATGTACTTTCACTCAAAATTGGCTTGACCTCCTCCTACTTATGACGTCATATCTCGTAACCATAGAAACTGATCATCACTGAACTTGACTCAAAATGCGCGTGAGGGATGAACGAACATTTACTGAAAACATTAGGTGCTGATGTTTTATCCTCTAGGAGAAAACTCATAAAAAACCTTAGGGAAAGGGGTGGCATCCACCCCCTTTGTACGTCCGAGGGTTAAAATACAAAATAAGAATATACACAAATGGATGTACTTATGCTTTCTATTACAGCAACGGCAGCCTGAAAGCTGATGTTGGCATTTTAGCAACCATTAATACAAACACTACTTCAAAAAGCGAGGCTATTAATTATTTAATAAATGGGATTGATGTTGCCTTAGGAAAACACATAAAAGGATTTATTCTATTAGGTAAGCAGATAATAAAAATTAAATCGTATGTTTTACCTTTTAAATAAACTTTCACCAGTGTAAAGCTAAAAGAAATACACACAAAAAAAGAAAAATCAAACAAAAACAAGGTGACCAAGGTAAAAATAATGGTATTGCACTTTTGCGCGTCGTATTCAATCTTTCTTACCGCTGCTCAATTTGCCATGAAACTCTCTATCTCGTGTTTGATGTATCAATAAATAGGATCTTATTCGTGCTAAAATGCTATCCGCGTTTGCTTCGTTGCATTATAGGACGAACACAATCTACTGTGACAGTCGTTTAAAGCTTTTGTTTTTAACGAATAGTTTTTATCGGATCATAAGTGTAACTTGTGATTCCTTTTTTTATTCCTCAATAAGAAAAACCACAACCGCCAAGAAACTTGAAAGCAACTAATATACAAAAAAGCTACTTTGTATTAACTTGGGATGGGCCAGATAATGGCAAGTATTACAGGATAGATAACTACACCATCGAACGAAAGAGAGAAACATCCAATAACTTTACAGTGGTAAAGACACTGCCATATACGCGTACAGGAATGATAATGGAGGACTTAAAACCCGCTACAGAGTACACAATTCGGTTGTCAAGCAACAACATATATGGAAGATCTGATGGTGTCTCTATAACACAAATGACTCGACCCGGTATGTACTATTTATGCAGCCCTTTGGTTAAACTTCTATATTAAGAATATTTCAACGATAATAAAACTAGCTTAAAGAATTAGACAAATTCACGCCATGACATTCTCTTTATAGCATACTAAAATTCCTAGTAACAATAACTAAACTAATTGTGCATGCCGCAGCTGTACTCACCCTCGCAGAAAAGTCAATTTTTACTTTAGTCAATTTTACTCAATGGCTACAACCGTATAATATATGTAAGCACAGTATCCAACGCCATGTTTGTATTAGCTGAACGCCGTCTCGTGTTTTTAAAGCACGGCGTTGGAAACCTTGCGTTTATGTTTGCCAGGCGTTTCATAGACAGAATACCCAACGTTATGTCTTTAAGGGGGTGGGAGATCCAGAATGTTTTTTTTAATAGGGTTGCCGAAACCAATAGACCACTATATAATACATATGAACTTATCATAATACGTTTGACCACTTTTTAAATTACTTTGTAAATTAGAAAGGATGAACATAACTGCAAAATGGTATTGTGCCGCTGCTGACTTGAAATGTCAAAAACCGAGAAAACTTGATGTGAAATTTCAGTCATTAAGAATGGTAAATTATTGTTGTTTCCATCCGCGGCTTGTTTAAACGTTGATTAAATTAACTTTGGGAAAACAAAAAAAAACTTGGCAACATTCCAGTTGTCTATGGCTACAAGTGTTCACCGTATTCACAAGAAATGCGCAAAACCTGCTAGTTGGCCAAAATTGAAGACGCAGCCATTCCTCTAAACATTACTGTACAGGGTCATGAGCCACAAATTTCTCGCAAACCGGAGGATTATAATTATTAGCCCGGTAATCCACGCCCCTCCATTTGTTCGACCCCTGTGTACATTTCCCATGTTTAACCTCACATAACTGCAATCATCTCGAGATATGCTGAACCTGGTTTTAAACTCGTCGCCTATTGGCTGAAGGATATAACACACCAGAAACGCCTTTCACATAATTTACAAATTTGTTGGCTCAGTATCTTTTGGTAGTGCATGTCGAATTGGTCATTTTATGTTTCGTTTTCATGAAACACGCGAGGACATTGTATTAGATCTAAATTGGGTCATGAGCTGTTAAGGGCTATACTTTCGGTTAGTTTCTTCTTGCTGAATTTTACGGCGATACGCTACACCTCTCAAATCAAAGTAATGGAAACTGAGTGTTCATTTTCATGTCCACACTGTTAAGAATAGTCTAAAATACCCCATTCATATCTACTAAGGTGATCTAACTAGTCTACTTGTTGCTGTATTCTCTTCACCATCTCCCTTCACAGACACGTTCATAAGGGAATTGATTCTGATTATCGTGCTGCCGATCAGCTTGGCCGTTTTCTTTGTCGCGGTCATCTGTCTAAGGTTTAGACCAACTGTTAAAGAAAAAGTAGCTCAAAAGGATGAGGTAAGAGATTAGTGAGTACAAAATAGTGTTCTAATTGTTTTTATGCTTGTTTCTTTTTTTTTCTCAAAATCCATTTTTCAAGCTAGGCGCGAAGCGCTGGTGTAAGACGCACCTCTCCGAAGTCTCATTCTGCGTATTGATCACCCGTCGACGATAGGTCTGGAGCGACTGGACCTGTCGTTTGACAGCCCACGCGTCCTTATAACCTGCCCAAAATAAGGGCTGTTTCGCACTCTAAACTGAATTTACTAGCTCATGTTTTTTCGGTAGAATGATAGAAGACTTCTATATGCTACATGTACATAGTCGGAAAAAAAAAAACTCTATCGTAAATTAGGGCTGAATTTTGCCTCAGGTAGATTCAAAGCTATTATCAGACAATATTTTAGGATCGATTTAGGTGCTACCCAGAAGATCAATCTAGAAATCTAGTTTAAAAATCTATCTTAACTGTCATCCGAATTTTTGAGAAAAGAAAAAAAAATTAGCGAGGCAAAAAAAGAGATCGTCTTTGCAAAATTAAAATGTAGATAGGGCAGGAGTTAATGCGAAAGTACGAAAAAAAAAACTTATCTTGTTGGCATGACCATGTAGCAATATAGTAATGTGGTAATACAGTTTAAAGAAAAAATTAAAAAAAAAAATAAGTTAAAATTCCCTGGCGGTCTTAAGACCCTAGCTGATTAATGGTAATGTCTATTCCGTGTACGCCATGTTTAGGTAGAGATGTGGGTACAGGGAGACTGGATCGAGCTGCCAAGAGCAGATGTCAAACTGAAAGAAAAGTTAGGAGAAGGCGCATTTGGTGAGGTTTATAAGGGTGAGGTACAGATTGATGGAGAAAAGTTGCCGTGTGCAGTGAAGAAAGTAAAAGGTAAATTGTCATTGTCTAGGTCGTTCCAGTCCTTAGAGGCTTAGAAAAAAGAAAGTTTGCTTGCCCCAATTGGTGCGAACGCGAGGAAGGTGTAAATCATTGCTTCTGCGGGTTTGATAAGAATGAAGACTACCATTATGTTTGATGTCAAATTTACGTAATAGTAGTCTTTTCAGAAGTTGGAGTTAAATGGACGTCTAATTCCTGAGACGACAAATGTATGAGACGTCACCAAGTCCACGCATAACTGCCTAGAAGCATTCAAACAATGTTGAATTCTCTTTTGAAAACACTGAATAAAGGTTTCCGGTCTTCTCCGGAAACAAACTTCCGATTAATTTCAAACATTTAATTAGTCTTAAAGTAACTTTTCTGAAATTCACATATCCATAAGCAAAACTGGGCGTTTTCCTACTCTGTCAGATTATTCTCTCTTGGCATAACCTAAATTTTCTAATTTTTTTTTTCAATGAGCTCTTTACAGTGAGGTTTCGCAGTTTCCTGAGATTTTTTAACACCTGTTAAAGGTGTACCATCTTTCAATGCGCAATTTTGTTCGTACATTCCAATTATGTTATTTCCATTTCCGGTCTCTTATTGTTTTGCAGAAAATGCAACAACGCTAGAAAAGCGGGACCTTTTAAATGAACTGAAAATCATGGTCAGAGTTGGTGACCATCCCAATGTTGTAAGTCTCGTTGGAGCCTGTACAAGAAAGGGTAGGTACATCCAAAACGCTACCGATACATTGTTCGATACCCCCTATGAGACACAAGATCCAACAAGTTTAAGAATATGTAGGTCAAATTCAAGCAGCCAAAATGAAATGAATGTGCATGGAAAGTTTTCATCTTTCTTAGCTTTGTTATGCATAACAAAGGACGTTCATTAAGGACCTTTTAAATGGATGTAGTATATATACCAGCATCATGTTGAATGAGATGTTCAAGGGATCTCAATTGCAATACGATGCGGACGAAGTTTCAAGAATCCTCCCCTCCTTTGCATAGCACGCAAAGGCCTGGGGACGAGGCTGTCTATTTCCCTTCGAAAGTGTGCTCCTGGTATGACCCCCTTACAAGTACTCCTTACAAAACTGGTGTGGTTGATGAAGTAAACGTATTCACAACTTAACAATTCAGTCCAATTCAGGTACTGCCCACTGAAATGGGGCGTTCAATGTTTTCGCGGGTACTATGACTAACGAAACATATCGTTGATTAAACCCAAGGAAGTTGAATGTGAACATTTCATTAAACATGTTGTCTGACAAATTATGGACACTATACCTCACACCTCACCTATCCTCTTCGTACCTCGTGGCACGTAAGGCCTCCACTGAGTTTCTCATTTTTTCTCAGTTTGGGCCGCAACGGTCTTCACTTCCTCCCTCCTATTGTGAGGACCGGCCACAGTGTTCCTTTGATACAGTAAATTTTCTCTGCGTCTGGTTTCTCGAATAACAGGGTTTTAAGGGGGCGGGGATATCAGCCGTCCGCCCAATCCCCAAGCTGGAGGACCAGGGGACCACAATTAGGCTAGTCTCTATCCTTCGACCTGCTCGGCGTCGGTGGCTTTACCTGGAGTCAAAGACTCCAGCCGACATAGCTCTATGGGTCATTAGGACAAGCAAACCACTCCATCGCGGTAAGGTGGTGGTGCCTTTGGAGTGGGTTTAAACTATAAGAGACATTTTATTTCAGCAAAAGACCAGTACCTAGCTTTTATCTATACTAAGGAGGCAAGCAGAAGCGATTGATTTTCTCTTCGTTGATTGGAAATCATCAATTAATTTGATCATAAATTCACACGTCTCTTTTTGTTTGTTGTTGTCCTTTTTTCTATTCAGTTATTTTTACTAATTTATGAAAATTTAAAATTTGTCCCACTAGAACCGATATTAGTGGTTGTGCGACTGGCAGAAAATGGCTGCTTGTTAAGTCACCTCAAGAAAAGTCGAGAAAATTCTTACATCAATGTCCAAGCGAAAAACGCGGTGCATTTCACCCCCGTCGATAGAATCAAGATTGCCAGAGATGTGGCCTGTGGTATGCTGCATCTGGCGAGCAAAGTGGTAAATATACTTTTTATTGTATACGCCAGCGATTATTTAACTTTTGTTTGTTCGTCTGGCGCAGTAGCATTTTAATGGAGCCTAAATCATTAGACCTTTTTTTTTTTTCTTTTTTTTCGTTTTTCTTTTTTTCTAATTTTCAGAAACAAATATCAGTCTCCCAAACTGTTTTTTTATTACGCCCCTCTTCCCCTCTTTCCCTTCAGTTGTCTTATCCAGTCTATAGATGGTCTGCTTTATGCAGGCTTCACTAAATGTTGCGTCGTAGATAAGGCCGGTTTTGCTCAGTAACAATGTAAATGATTTATCTTGAGTAAGATTGAAGACTTATTATTTATTGGTTCCCTGATTGACATGAAGGCAGTTTAGAGATCTCCTCTGGGTCTCGTCATCATCATCATCATCATCATCATCATCATCATCATCGTCGTCGTCATCATCATCATCATTATTATTATCAGCATCATCACCATCTTTATCATTATCATCATCACCATGGCCAACACCATCAGCATCTTCTTCATAATCACAATCATCACCATCATCACCATCTTCATTATCTTCATCGTCATCATAATCATAATCATCATCATCATCATCATGATCATCATCATCTTCATCGTCATCATCTTTAAATGTGTAATTTCGTTTCGTTTATCTCATTACAGTGTGTCCACCGTGACCTTGCGGCCCGGAATGTGTTGCTCGGCAAGAATAATATTGCTATGGTTTCTGATTTTGGTCTCTCACGTGATGTATATGAAAGTGGAGAATACGAAAACACTTCTGGGGTAAGAAAATGTATATATTTAGTCGCCTTTTTAAGTCGCTTGTTGTTGTCCTGTCTTTTTCTTAATAACCGTTTCCTCTGTCTTATTAGTTAGTAAAAGAGTTTGATTCAGTTTCCCCGGTGGGCTGGAGTTTCTTCCTTGTTTCTTGTTTGTGAAATCACACGGAGCCTCATCCGTTCCCGTTTTAACATCGACTTACGATTTGCCACTTACGCTATAATACAAAAAATTCGGATGGCTTTTCAGGCTAGATCTCAAATGTCAAAAAATAAATTCAAGGATAAAAACGCAGCTCCCTCCTAAATAGCTAAAACAGCTTCCCCCTCCCCTTTTTTAGCTTATAGTTTTATCACTGATTACATGTATCGATCTTCAATAAACCATTACTTGATCTTCAATTCAAGTACAGATAGTTTCCAGGCCCAGTTCACGGTTTTCTGACGTCGACATTAATTCCTTAATATAATTCCTTACTTAGGGAATGTTACCTGTTCGATGGATGGCGATGGAGTCTTTAGAGGATTACACATACACCACCAAATCTGACGTGTAAGAGTTGTTGTTTATACAACATTAACCAAATGACGTAGTCTTCAATTGCTATTTAGTACGTGCAGACACTGGAGACTTAGGCAACACATCATTTTCGTATCACTGACCTTTCAAGGCATCTTTTGCAGGGTTGTACATTTCTTTTTGTTTCGGTGTTTTCATTTTAATTATTGCCAGACGTAAGAGGAGATAATTATAAAGAATGCAAATTATTTCATGAAATTATGACTGCATTTTCTACAATATCGATTAAGGAGCTATTCCATTTATTTAGCATAGCATTTTTTATCAAGGCTTTATTTGTTTGTTTTTGTTTTTCACCATGCACGCCAAGGCATGAGACATTAACTTCACTTCTTTTCTGCTCAGTCTTCGCCTCACTAAATTGTTTTACTTAATTTGAAGCATCATCACACACTAGAGAAAAAATCACCCCAATTTGGACTTATTTGCAATAACTTTGTTAGCTCTAAAGTTTTCCTTTCCAAACTTTGCCTGCCAATCAATTTGGCGTATATTTTGACTTGAAAATGCCAAAATGTGGCGTCATAATTGCTGACGTCATTCATACGTAAATTTCAAATTTTATAATCTTTTGTATTTGTATATCAATTCTAAAAGAACTATTCAGGGGGAGTTGAAAGATGAAAAAAAATTTCTAATATCCTACATATGAGCTGAAATTTAACGTTTGAATTTGGATAAATTTGTACCACAAAGATGCTGTATCCCCCCGCTGTTAACCCTCGGACGTACACGCAAATTGAGACCCCCACGTGGTACAAGGGGGGTGGATGGACCCTCCTAGAGTTTTTGATATGTTGTAGTATTTCGAAACGATTTTACCTTCAGTGGAAAGCCTTTGATTTTCTTAACAAGATGAGGTATAATTTATGGGTGGTGGCGCTGCTGGAGGCCTGTGACGTCACCAACAATGGTCGCAATCTTGGCCGCCATCTTGAATTTTACCAAGAATTAGAAATCAGGCTAAAACCGCAAGAAATGGTGATTTTTTTGCTTGACATGATTAATAACACATAAATAAGCACTTTGCATGATTTTAGCACAAGGTTTACTTTTATTGTTGAAAAAAGTTTAAAACATGTACGTTCACTCAAAAATTGCTTGATCTCCTACTAGTTATGACGTCATGTCTCATAACCATAGAAACTGACCATCACTAAACTTGACTCAAAATGCGCGCAAGGGATGAAAAAACAAGGAAAATTTTCAGAAAAACCTTAGGGAGGGGAGGGGGGTGGCATCCATCCCCCTCCTGTGTGTCCGAGGGTGGAATAAATCTAAATTTAAGCATTTTATTTACTATAAACATAACCCATCTCTACTGTCAAAAGTTAAATAAAAAAGAAAATTTCAAAAAAGGAAATTCCCAGCCGCACAAAAACCAAGAAAACAGATTTGTGACGTCATTAAATGGTCACTTGATTATTTCTTTTTTGCGTAAATTTACGTTTTTGCGTCAAAAAAAGAAAAACTAAAACGATACGATTTTTAGCAACTATAAAAGGTTTATGTAACCGGAAAATCATCTTATTTTGCTAAAAAAGTAAAAATTACTGCTCTTTTCACAAACATGCGAACTCTAAAGTTCGTAAGCCGCCTTCACAATTGCGTTTTTTCAAAATTCGCATGTTTGTGAAAAGCGCAGTAAATCAAAGGGTTCGATTTTAAGGAAAAATATGGTTCTGGGGTGGTGACGTCAGCCCTCGTGACGTCATAATTTGAGTTCTTGTGTTAATAAAAAACTTGAAATTACCTGGTCAACAATCGAAGTCTATCTGGTAAGTCTGGTCAAGAAATGAAAAGAAATGCAAAAGATACGTAGGGTGGGCCAAAAATGACCGATTTTTCCCCAGAGTGTAATGTAAATCATCGAGTCAATAAATAGCGGCATAATATACAGTTTCATACATGACCGCAAGGTTGATTTGTCCAGTTGAGTTGGTGGGTACTTTTATTTTTTCCAGCCTCTATCGGGAAGTCAATGACATGAAACTTAATAGTGCACAGTTACATGTAGGTCCAACCTCGCATGTCATGATACACATCCACAGCAGACACTTAGTAACACTAACGTAACTGTTGAAAGTTGACCATGTCAAATTGAACATATGAGAAATTTGTCCAAAGGGGTTAGTTTATCTTTTGTCTCACTTTTGCCACTTTGATATTGATCGCGACGTTTCGACCGCACACTGCAGGTCTTCATCAGGCATCAGGTGATAGTGTCGATTTACTGAGTCGGACTGTTTGTACAACCGTGGTTGTTAGTGATTGGTGTATCACGAACCTCGCTAATGGTTGGTGGGTTTCGATGCAAAGCAATGTTGGTATTATCAGAGGAGGAAACTGTTCCCTCAGCGGTCCCTTGTCGTAGCAATCGGCTGTTATGTTGTCTGATTGTAGGCATCCACAGTTCAGGAATCTCAGTTCCACTGTCCCTGTTGATGTTGTTACGGTGAAGTCTTATGTGAATAGCCTCTAAAACTCTACGAGAGTACCAGTGAGGGTCTCGGTCAATAAACTTAACTTCATCCCAGCGCGGATATTAGGCTGATTTAGCAACAGAACAGGAACGTCATTTGACGACGGGAAAGCGCACGGAAAGGACTAAACTCGACTTCCGGTACCCAATTTGCCGCTCTGCCATTGGTCAAACCAGTTGTGGGATTTTCGCGCGCAATCGTCAACAGACGTTCCCGTTTTGTTGTTAAATCAGTCTATTGCCCGGTCTCACTAACAACCACGTTGGTACAAATAGTCCGACCCAATAAATCGACACTATCGTCTGATGAAAACCTGCAGTGTGAAGCGTCGCGATCAATATCAAAGTGACAGTCGTGAGACAAACGATAAACTAAACCCTTTACACACATCATCCACGATGATTATTATCTTTCATGACATGAGAATTTTTTTTTTCAGCTGGTCATTTGGAGTAGTGATGTGGGAAATAGAATCTGGAGGTAGAGCTTATCATTATATTATCTAGACCTCAACTTTGATACGACCTACTACTATCAAGCCTGATTACGTATCACTACCCAAAACTGGGTGATGCCTCTGATTGGTCCTGCCTCGTTGGAAATTGGCTTTATGTAAAAATGACATGAAATGTTTAATTATGACGTAATTCAATTAAACGGATATATACACTATAATCGATGGGTACCAAGCAACAACCGCTTGCCCAACCTGACCCTCCGTGTATTATAATAATAATAATAATAAAAGCCTGCACATCGTTTACTTTAACTTGCAATTATGGTCTTTCTTATTATAGGAAAAATGCCATATTCCGGTTTGGGAGGCATAGAAATTATAGACTACTTAAAGGCTGGAAAGAAGTTAAAACAACCTGATGGATGTTCGGATGAGATGTAAGTTCTTATAATTACAATAATCAAGTATAATAATGATGATGATAATCATAAGTTCCAAAATTTTACTTGAAATATTTGACTTTAAAGTTTATTTGTATGATGCCATTTATTAAAACAGAAATGATGCAATCTAGAGACGATGCAATTTGGAGCAAAACTAGTTCGACCCCTGATTAATTCACACTGCTGTTGAGAACCAATCAGATTGCAGGGATCAGCAGTGATTTCAAAATAGATGTTACGAAAGCTGATATCCGAACACCCGTCTTTTCGAGTTAGGTCATAAACTTCTTAAGTTAACTTTCGTGACTTTACTTAATATTCAGCTATCAAATAATGAGGTCATGCTGGAACTTGGAACCTTCGAAACGTCCAACATTTCTCGAGCTTTTGACGTCACTTGAGCAAGAATTAGAGAAGAAGGGAGTAAGTACAAAATTATTATGAGGAGGGGGTTGAGTAAGATTAGAAACCTTTGAAATAATATAAAGTCGAACATTCTATCAGTGCACCCTTTGTAATAAGTAGTCACTTCCAGGTCGCAGGAAGCGAAAAACAAAGCCCGATCTTAATAGGGTTAAACTTAGTTCCGCACCCTGTAGTTCGACCCAATAAGAGACCACCTCCTGTAAGCGACCACCAAATCGAGGCACTTAAAGTGACATCTGAAGGATAAGTCGGCCGTATTTTTATAACAGTTGCTTCCCTTTAGCTTTTCTGTCCTTTGAACACGATCGATGAAACAACTGGTGTTGACCGTGCTTCGACAACATTTTTCTAGTCATCTACCGCGAGGGGGGAAAAACTGTTAAAACAACACATATTTGTGTATACAATTCATCTAAACCTTTTGTCCTTGAGAATTCCATTGGTAGGTCTAGAGAAAGAACACGACCACTAGGGGCTTTGTACGTGAAATGTGATTAAGTGTGCTTAGCCATACTCACCTCTGAATTTGCTTTCTTGATCATGAAGTGTTATCTTTCTTTATCTTTCAGGTTTTAATAAAAGACAAGGACCATGAAAGTGATAAAACTCAAGGAATTGTAAATTTGACAACAGATATCAATGAACAAGATCGATGAGGACTTAAGCACTTCGTTTTAGCTGAATTTAGCTGAGCTTAGTTGATCATATTGTTTATTGAATGGAAATTGCAGCTAAAAAAATCAGACAGTGATTTATCTCATCTACGTTCCTGAGCTATCTCTAACGAAAATAATACATTATCTTATCAAATACAGTCTAAAATTCTCCTTACGGACACCTCTATAATACGGACACCTCGAAAGGAGAAACGGAAGATTGAATAGCGCATATCCTTTATTCATCTGCTAGGGCCAAGTTCGATTCGCACGTCACATCGCTTGCTGTGCGTGATCGGGTAGTAAAATGAATTACCCGTAAAGTGTAAAATTACATAATGCCATTTTTTCAGTGAAACAGGTATTAGAGAAGATTGGCCGCAAAATTTTCGCATGAGCTTTATAAAGATCGCTTTACAAATTAGCTGAGGAACTGAGAGTGGATCCAAATATACGTGTGGACGGGTAAATTGGAGTTGAATACGTATACGTGTGGACGTGGAAAGTTTTGAATCCGCAAAGAAAAATTTAATTGGGGATTCAAAAATATCCTGATACTTTTGGACGGGGCCCGAGTCTCAGAGTAAAAAAAAAATACAAAGGAACGTAACGGTGATCTAACAAACTAACAGATGATTGGAATTGCGTTCTATGATCTCCGAGCAAAAATAAAATAAATATCAATATCAATATCAATCAACATCGTTGCAACTTTAACCACTGTCGCTTTAACCATTCATCTGCTTGTTTTGTTTTGCTGTTTTTTGCGCCTTAACCCTCTCACTGCCAGAGTGGATGATGGAGTTTGTGAGGTGGTTCTAACTTTTACGTCTGTGGACAAAATCCGATGGTGCGACCATTCAAATTAAATCTCTTTGGAAGTACTTTCATGTGGTGTTATTTGCTTTAAAAATATTTTACAAAATTAGATGAAATTTGGGATTTTTGTCGAATTTGCCCTTGGTCATATTTGGTAGTGAAAGGGTTAAGGTATCAAAATATTCGATTTTGTGATAGAGATCTTGGGTGTGATATATTCAATGCAAGATGCATATTCGACTGGTTTAAAAGGTACAATCTAAAAGAGTATTTATTTAGCAAATTACAGCGATTTCCTCTTGGAGTCATCATTTGATGGATGTATAGCTAAAATAAGTGATCGATACTACATTAATTTGAACGCATGCTTGGTTTTTTAAAGAATAATATCTTGTCTTCGCTGCTCTAAATGGAATGTTACTTGACCCGACATATATGTAACCGCGCAATGGACCAAACAATGCAGCAAATATTTGGCTAAACATTAGCACACAAGTGCGATCAGTATATAAGGAAACCATCATTAAAGCCTTGTTGACAGAATAGTGAGGAACATAATGCAAAGGGGTTTCAATCTGAGAAGTTAATAAGAGTAGTTTTCATCATATATTCCATAAGAAGATCTTGATAGCCTTAAGGATTATCTCAGCTTCATGCAAAAATGTATTTATTTAAAGGTCTTCCTTGTCTAAACGCAGGCCCAGATTTTGTTTAAACTTGGTCATTCAACAGAGAGCTTGTAACAGCGCGTGCACGCACTGCAAACTAACTTCCCATTTTCGACCCAAGTGCTTACGCTTCTGAATCCGCGCGTAGAGATTGACCAACTTCCTTTTCAGGGAATAAGGAAAACGATTCAACTTCTGCTAATAAAAACATTCTAATATCTGTCACGTCCCACATCACAGCGAACCAATCACAATAGAAAGTGACTCAGAGGAGTCATTATAAGAAAACTTAGACGCACTGTTTTTGATATAGCCAAGAGAAAGGCTTGGTTTGCTTATAATATTTCGGTTGCCCTCTAGATGCAAGAAAGAAAAACGTACACGTGTTTCAGTTTGTGGAAGAGGTCATATAATCTGCGAGGTGTTTTTGTTTGGGCTTTGACACAATTTTTGCAAGACATCAACAACTAAGACCAAAAATCTCGTCGCAAAATAGTAGGTATTAATCTTTGCATACCTTAGTTCCTATGGAATGTTTTACCATTAACCTAAACTCTGATATAATATGAATCGCTCAGGTGTCTTTGCAATATGCAGCTTTTTAAGTTGTAGTTTGTTCTAACTTTAGAGATTTGCGTGGGCATCACATTATGGGACGATATTAAGTTGTAATACCTACGTTTCGTTCACATATTTTGCAGTGAAAAGTTTTAAAAACGCAAAATGATTTAATATCATATTTAAAAATACATTATTTATGTGCATTTATACCTTTCATTGACTGTTCCGCAATATACCTATTGGTGTCTACTAGAAATGCCAGCTAGCAAACGCGAAGACTACTTGTCGCACGCTGATACATGTGTAGCAAGAAATAATCATATTGCATTTCACTGATTCAGCGTTGAGCCGTTGGAGTTCCTATTGTGATTTGATCATTATTCTCATCCATTGACTGTTTGCCCAAAAAAGTTCCCGATGCTTTTCCCGTAGAGCGTGAAAGGGGCTCTAATTCTTCGTTTCCGTGTAATTTGTCCTTTTTTCTCTATAAAATACCATAATACTCTTTGTTTTCCTTCCATAACTTTGCAGAAGCATTAAACAACTAACAAAGTCGCCCAAACAGAACTAAAAAAAATGCAATTTTAGACAGAAAACAAGGACAATTTTTAATTTTTGAATGCGGATTTCAGCGTTTCTTGGAATGAGGCGTACATGTACGTGATTCGTGAATCAGCTTGTTTTGCATTAATTTATTTATCCTCTCTTGTTTCAAGTCGTTTCAGAGATTCACGGTTAACAAGGAAGCTTCTAAAATTAATTAAAAATTAAAATGAACAGAAAATTGAAAAAAAAGAGTTCTAAAATACAGCGAATTGCTTTTTTTGGTTGTCGACCACAACAACCGAAAAAATTACAACGATATAGCTACATTGTGAATAACAATTGATAATTACTTACTCAGATGTCCGATCCCGACTAAATCTTCAAAACCAGCTATTACTGAAATTACACGTGAAGTCAAATGTTAACAGAGTTTACACGGCATGCGAAGACAGGAAAAGCCGATTTAGAAAAATAACTTAGGTGTTGACTTGAAAAGAAAGAGGCGGAGAGCTTGCTCGCAGGCTAAGTGATTTTCAAATAGTTATTGATGAAAAATTCAAATAATTATTAAATGTGGATTTCGTATTATACGGATGCATTTGGATAATTTTATCCTCCTCAGCAGATAACACCCTCCTCGACGTGCATAATTATTTAAGTCATACTCATCATAATTTAATAATCATTAACTGATAAACAAACATTTACACTCGATCCTTAATAATTCACCTGAGTTTCTTTTAGGATTTCTTTAACCAGTATTAATTTGATCCGGAGGTGCCTTCCATAATTACAAAAATCTGAAGTCTTTCATGTTTTCCGTGATGTAGGCGTATTTGCCAATACTACCGTTATAAAACGACGCTGCTTACGCATTGCCGTTCAATTTGTCAATTTGGACAGGCGGGTTACCCCACCAAAGCGCGTTACCTCACCTACCTGGGGTCCCCCACCTCCATGTAAACAAGCCTTTAGTCAATGCACCTTTTTAGGGCCTGTTTACATGGCGGTGGGGGACTCTAGATAGGTGAGGTAACATGTGGCGGGTCATCCCACCTATCATGTAAACGTGATCAAATTCAAATGAGACATTATAGGGACAGGCGGGTGACCCCACCTAAGCGGCTTACCTCATCCACCGGGGGTTCCCCAGCTCCATTTAAACGTGCTTTTAGTTTATAAAGCGTTTTCACTCATGTGACCAGCATCTTTGCAAATTTATTGGAACAAAAGAAATTGTTTACATAAGAAAAAAGTTCAACTCCCACAGGGCTAGTTTGGATCATCACCATGGACGCCTTGACGTCATGTGAAAACGCTCTACATGTTTTATTTTCCCATTTAGACCACGTGATGTTCTCCAGGGATTTTCATAACTAAGCAATTATGCATGCATATGCGAGTGTTCGCACGTGCATAGGACGGCACTTGAAGGAAACAGATCTCTTGGGTACCATCGATGGTCTAAGGGCCTGTTTACATGGAGGTGGGGGACCCCAGGTAGGCGATGAAACCCGCTTAGGTGGGGTAACCCACCTGACAATACAATCCCTCTTATTGATTTTATCGCGTTTACATGATAGGTGGGGTGACCATATGAGAAGTTTAATGGACAGCCGGGCCGGGGTACCCCATCTAAACGCGTTACCTCACCTACCTGGTGTTTCCCGCCTCCTGCATGTAAACAGGCCCTAAAATAGGAAAATAAAACATACAAGTGAAAAAGGTCCATATGAAAATTGCGAATTTAATCGCTTATGTTAACGGA